TCTGTCCTCCAGCTCTAATGTTAAAAATCTGGGTGTTATTTTTGATCAGGACATGTCTTTTATCCCCCACATTAAAAACCTTACTAGAACTGCCTTCTTCCACCTGCGTAATATCACTAAAATTAGAAACATCTGGTCTAAAAATGATGCAGAAAAACTGGTCCATGCATTTGTCACGTCTAGACTGGACTATTGCAATAGTTTATTATCTGGATGTCCAAATACTTCTTTAAAACGTCTTCAGTTGATCCAAAATGCTGCTGCCAGTGTCTTAACCGGAGTTAGTAGGAGAGATCATATTTCTCCAGTTTTAGTTTCTCTCCATTGGCTCCCCGTCAAGTCCAGAATAGAATTCAAAATCTTACTTCTAACCTACAAAGCTCTCAACAATCTGGCTCCATCTTATATTACAGATCTTATTGTTCCATATTTTCCTAACAGAGCACTTCGCTCTCAGACTGCAGGTTTACTTGTGGTTCCTAGAATTTACAAAAACAGAATGGGAGGCAGATCTTTCAGTTATCAGGCTCCTCTCTTGTGGAACCAACTTCCAATCTCTTTCCGTGAGGCTGACTCATTATCCAGTTTTAAAACTAGTCTTAAGACTTTCCTTTTTACTAAATCCTATAGTTAGGGTCCGCTTAGGTTTCCTGAGCTGTCCCTTAGTTATGCTGCTATAGGCTTAGACTGCTGGAGGACAAACTGACCACAATTTTCAGTCTACTACTGTCTTTACTTACTCTGCTCAACCTGTTTTGTATTTGTAATTATTTTTTCTATCCTTAACGTGTTTTTTTTGTCTTTCAGATACACCTGGACCTATACCTGGACCTACCATTCTATGTTTGTCTGTCTCTCCTTCCTGTCCTCTCAACCAGCCGGTCAAAGCAGATGGCCGCTTGTCCTGAGCCTGGTTCTGCTGGAGGTTTCTTCCTTTTAAAAGGGAGTTTTTCCTTTCCACTGTTGCCACTGTGCTTGCTCAGGTTGGGAGACTGAAACGAAGCCAAGATTCAACTTGTCTGCTGGATTCCTTAGATAGAGAACTTTACTAATTGGCTTTTATGTATGTGAATGTTTCTGTAAAGTGCCCTGAGACAACTTTGTTGTGATTTGGTGCTATATAAATAAACTGAATTGAATTGAGGGGGGGGCAGCCGGTGCGCTGTCTCTCCCTCCCCCACCTACGTGAATCATCACAACCTGCGGCTGCTGGACAGAGCTCCTCAGATGGATTACGTCACCCCCACTCCATCTCTTGTTCACATAGCCCTGGTTAATGCTAGATCGCTATCTAAAAAGACCTTTATTCTGAAGGATTTCTTCACCTCCCGCGGTCTGGATTTTTTATTCTTAACTGAAACATGGGTAAGTTGCGGTGAGTCCAGGGCTTTTTGTGAACTCTCCACTGAACTGTACTTTCTTCAGCTCTCCCAAGACGACAGGTTGTGGAGGAGGAATAGCAACTGTTTACAGGGAGATCTGTCTCTGTAAGCAAATCACACCTTTAACATTTTATTCCAGCTTTGAGTTCAACTTATTTGAGCCTCGATCTTCACACCGGGTGCTGTGTAGTGTTTTATACAGACCTCCAAAATACAAGGACTTTCTGACTGACTTTGCAGATTTTTTGGCAGGAGTCCTGCCTAAATATGACAGGATATTAATAATTGGAGATTTTAATATCCACGTGTGTTGTGCTGACAAACTGTTGGTCAAAGATTTTTACAGCTGATCGATTCTTTTAATTTTGTTCAGTTTGTGTCTGGTCCAACACAAGAATGCGGCCACACATGAGATCTTGTCTTAGCTCATGGTTTTAATGTTTCTAATCTGGAAGTTTGTGATGCTGCTATTCTCAGACCACATGCCTGTTGTGTTTGACATGCCACTTGTCTGTCACTCAGTCAAACCTTGCATTCTTGCACAGCCCTGTTGGGTCATTAACTCCTCCACTGCTGCTCAGTTCTCTGCAGCTTTTAGTTCTGCCATCAGCTCCAGGGATCCTGTGGGTCCTAGTTCAGATGTTGAAGCTCTCTCCTCTCATTTTAACTCAGCTTGTCAGACTGTTTCAGATGTTGTGGCTCCATTAAAGATAAGAACCTCCAGATTGAAGCCTGACCCCTGGACAGATGATGTCACACATGCTGCCAGACGCCAGTGCAGGAGAGCAGAGTGAAAATGGAAGAAGGACAAGTTACAGGTGTCTTTCCAAGCACTGAGGGGCAGCTGGCGTTTCTATCAGTCCACTGTTAGAGCTGCAAAAAATATATATATTTCTCTGACATCATTTCCACGAACTCTAACAATCCACGTGTGCTTTTTAAAACCATCAGCTCTGTTCTTAATGCCCCACAATCAGCCAGCCTGGAGAACTCCACTGGAGTGTGTGAGAACTTCCTAAGCTTTTTTACCAACAAGGTTGCAAACATTAGAGCTCTCATAAGCTCTCCTTCTTTTGACCCTTCCATCTCTGTCAAACACTCTGCTGTTTTCAGTCAGTTTGAGCTCGTTACCCTGCCTTTTTTAAAAGACATCACTGGTCATATGAATTCTGCTGGATCTCCAAACGATCCCATCCCACCTCGTCTTTTTAAAGAGGTTTTTCACACGGTGGCTTCTTTTGTGTCCCAAATCATAAATGGCAGCTTGGCAAGTGGACAGGTACCTGCAAGTTTTAAACATGCAGTTGTGACACCACTGATTAAAAATCCGGTCTTGACTCTACAGACATGTCCAATTTTACGGCTTATTTCTAAACTTTCTTTTGTGTCGAAGATCTTGGAGAAAACAGTTTACAGTCAGTTAACATCTTACTTAAACAAACACAACCTTCTGGAACTGTTTCAATCCGGTTTTAAAACTCACCACGGTACTGAGCCGGCACTGTTGAAAGTTTTTAACGACATTCTCTTAGGTAGCCACAGACTCTGGCCACTGTGTAGTTTTGATGCTGCTGGATCTAACTGCTGCCTTCGACACAGTGGACCATCAGATCCTTCTGTCTCGTCTGGAGAACTGGGTGGGCATTCAGGGTCCTGCTCTACAGTGGTTTAGATCCTATTTAACTGAGAGAAGCTTTTGTGTGCGCTTTGGTTCTGTGGAGTCCTCTATAGCACTTCTCACATGTGGAGTACCTCAGGGATCTGTACTTGGCCCCCTTCTGTTTTCCCTTTATTTACTACCTCTGGGATATATTCTCCAGAAACATGGGATTTCTTTTCATTTTTACGCCGATGACAGCCAAACTTATGTTCCTTTGAAACAAGATAAACAGTACTCCTTGAACCAACTCCTGGAATATATGGCAGAAGTCAGAGCATGGATGTCACAGAACTTTTTACACTTTAATGAGAAAAAGACCGAGGTCCTGTTGTTTAAGCCCAGTGATGGTTCCAAACTCCATGTTGATCTGGGTCCTTTAACCAAACATCTGACTGAGACAGCAACCAACCTGGGTGTGAGGCTGGACAATGATTTTAAACTGGATGCTCAGATTAAATCTGTGGTCAAGTCCAGCTTTTATCACCTGAAACAACTGGCCAATGTGAAACCATTCCTGTCATAACATCATTTTGAGATTTTAATCCATGCTTTCATTACAACTCGTCTGGACTATTGCAATTCACTTTATGTGGGTCTGAGCCAGTCATTACTGACTCGACTTCAGCTGGTTCAGAATGCTGCTGCTCGTCTTTTAACTGGCACCAGAAAATGAGAGCACATCACCCCTGTCATAAAATCACTACACTGGCTCCCAGTTCGTTTCCGGATTAATTTTAAGGTTCTTTTGTTTGTATTCAAATGTCTTCATGGTCTCGCCCCACAGTATCTGTCCGACCTTCTCTAGTTGTACATTCCCTCATGCTCTCTGAGGTTAGCTGATCAGCTGCTGTTGGCCGTCCCAAAGTCCAACAGGAGGCTGAGAGGTGACCGAGCATTCTTAGTCGCTGCCCCTAAACTGTGGAACGAGCTGCCTTTGCACGTCAGACAAGCTGACTCACTTCCTGTTTTTACATCTGCTCTGAAGACTCATTTTTTCTCTTTGGCTTTTAACGCAGCTTGAAATGTTGGCTTTACTGTTTTATGTTTTTTTGTTTTATTGTTGTTACCGTTTGCTGTTTTATGATTTGGCAGTTCATTACTTTTATGGTATTTGTTGAGTTCATAATTTTTATACTTGTATGTGTTAGTGTATAGCACTTTGGCCAACGGTGTTGTTTTAAAGGGCTTTAAAAATAAAGTTGTATTGTATTGTATACATACATACATACATTCATACATTCATACATTCATACATTCATATATATATATATATATGTATGTATGTATGTATGTATATATATGATGCCTAGCATTCCTTAAAATGAATGTCTATCACGCACCGTTTGTAATTCCATAGTTTGAAACTGAGATCATTTTATGATTAAATAAACGTGGGGTTATCACTGTTGTGGTCAAACTATGTAATTGGGGTTATGTGTGTGTGATACTGTATGGTTTTGCATGACTAGTTGATGCTAAAAGGATGTGTTTGGAAAAACTCTCAGTTAACACCAATGCCCTGGAATATCAATAAAATTCCATCTGATCTTATCTTATCTTACTACCACACCCATGCTCAGAATGAGTTATAGACATATTTGTGTTTGCTAGGGGATCTATCTGCGGCAGCTGTCTTGAATTGGGTTGACTCCAAAATGCAATGAGTAGCACATGTTTATTTAATGAATACTTTTTTTGAGATCTTTATTAAAATCTGTCGCTACAGTACTCCTTTAAAGATCATATCAGTACAATGACAATCTGATCTGCTTTCAAGGAACTCTTTATTAGCATAGGACAGGGATCGATCAAACAGTCAACAAAAACAGACAAATTTACATTATGAAGACTTGGTTTGGAGGTTTCTACGTCTGTAATAATCTGAGTCTGTCCTATTAAGATGGTGCAGAGACCACGCTGGCAGTGATCTTTTGTAAGTCACTCCATGGATTCCATGTTCACTTCTCAGTGATCTTTGATCAGCACCAGTAAGCTGAGTAGATGGAGGGGGGTGGGGTTACATCAACACCATTAGGACCATTATTAAATTGAGGAGGCCGCCGATCAGAGGTGCTGAGATCCGAACTGCTCCAGACCCATTCCAGGCCATGGTCAAGGTGCTGTGACCCAATGAAGGTAAGACCTCACCCTGGCAGTGCCTCAGGTCTGTGCCCACACAGGCAGCATAGGCCATTGCATGAGCAATGTAATTCTGCTCCTGGACCCCACTAAACAGATGGGCCATGGGTCCACGGGCCAGAACTGCTACATCCTCTCCACTGTGGGTGGTAGACTTCATGGGGGCAGCAGAAAACTGGACGTAATCTTTACTTTCTAAAAGAGAAATGTCAACAAGCAACAGACTTAACTGTAGAGTATCCAAAAAAGTTCAATCTGGTCCTCTGGACATTCAAAAAAA